CAGGACAGCTAGGACTGTTACACAGGGAAAACCTGTCTCAGAAAAAAAAAAGAAAGAAAAGGAAAAAAGAAAGAAAAAGAAAAGAAAAGAAAGAAAACTGAACTGAGTAGAAACTGGCTCTTTCGTTTTAGTGTTTTCAGAGTTATGTCTGAGGAACCTTCTACATAAATGAAAGAAAACCAAATCCTTTCAAACGTCCAGATGTCCTCTGAGGGGGATGAATGGATGATGGAAAAGAAAAGAAGATAAGAGGGTTTTAGTTGTTCCAAAATCCTCAAGGACTAAATTTCCCCTCATATGGTGTACTTGAGGATAGCAAGAGTTCCTGGTGCATTGTGTCAAGTTTTTCTCACAGGGTTGATTGGTATCAACTGTAAGATTTTTATCTTTTATGGTCATTTGAGATTCTAGCTTTTTTTTTAAATTGATAGATGGACACATGTTCCCTCTAGTTCTATTAGCTGTTCAGCTTTGACCATGAAAGCAGGTTGGATTTCATCAAAGAATTTCTCAGCATTTTATATTTTACCTTTGATTGCTATTAAGTGCCATCTAGTTGGTTCGTGGTGTTTCACAAGCACTTTTCTAATTCTTTTGTTTTTTTGTGTTTTGTTTTGCTTTTTGAGGCAGGGTTTCTCTATGTAACAGCCTTGGAACTTGCTTCGTAGATGAGGCAGGCCTTGAACTCACTGATATCCTCCTGCCTCTGCCCTAATTCTTTTTGTTGTTGGTGGTGGTGGTAAGTGTGTTTTTGTTTTTGGAGGCAGAGTTTCTCTTTAGCTTTGGAGCCTGTCCTGGAACTAGTTCTTGTAGACCATATTTGACTCGAACTCACAGAGATCTGCCTGCCTATGCCTCCCAAGTGCTGGGATTAAAGGCTTGGGCCACTACTTCCTGGCTCAATTTTTTTCCTAATTCTTGAATGGGGTACCTACCAAAGGCATTTCTTCCTACTTGGTTTGTGTTTGATTGCTGTTTTGAGTTTTTAGATCACCTGTTCTATGGGTCCTGGCCTCCACACCTGTTCCCTGAGGGGACCTGGTAGGAGTGAGACTCACTGACTTCACAGACTAGTTTAAGACTTAGCAAGACCTCTTGCTAAGGTCTTGAACTCCTGGTTGACCCATTAAAGGGTGAGGCTACAACTTGACTGGTCTGCTTAAATATGCATTTTTTGTTTTTGTTTTGTTTTTTTTGAGTCAGGGTTTCTCTGTGCAACAGTCCTACTGGTATTAGCTCTTGTAGACCAGGCTGGCCCCAGAGATCTACCTGTTTCTGCTTCCCAAGTGCTGGGATTAAAGGCATGCACCACCACTGCCCAGCCTAGACAGGTGTATTTGCTGCCTTTCAGCTACACATTACCTTCCTGTTGAAGTTGGGAAATTGCTGATTTGAATTCAGTCATTTTCAGGTTTCTTAGAAAAAAACCAAAAGAAAACAAAACAAAAAATTTATTGGTATTATTTCACATTTTAACTTGATTTTTTTTAGTACAAGATCTGTCTTTTTATTTGTGCTTCAGCCAAACTATTTTAATACCTGGCCCAGGACTCCAGGACTTCTTTCTGAACACTTTGCTGCAACTACAATTTAAAGAAGAAAAACTGAAATTAAAATAATTGACCATGGGATTAACAAAGAAAAAAAGAAAAAAGTTGCTCTTTCTTTCTTTCTTTCTTTCTTTCTTTCTTCTTTTTTTGGTTTTTCAAGTCAGGGTTCCTCTCCTGAAACTAGCTCTTATACACCAGCCTGGCCTTGAACTCACAGAGATCCACTACTCTCTGTCTTCTCGGTGCTGGGATTAAAGGTGTACGCTGCCACTGCCCGGCTCTTTGTATAATTTTCTTTAATTTTTCAAGACAGGGTTTCTCTCTGTAGTTCTTGCTGTCCTGGAATTTGACTTGTAGACCAGGCTGGCCTTGAACTCACAGAGATCTGCCTGCCTCTGCCTCCCAAGTGCTGGGATTTAAGTTGTGCACCAACACTGCCTGGCTCTTTCTTTTTTTCTTTCTTACTTTCTTTTTTAATTTTTTTTGAGGCACAGTTTCTCTTTGTAATAGCCCTAGTTGTTCTGGAACTCACTTTATAAACCAGGCTGTCTTCTTGGTGAAGAACATTCTGGGTTTTTTTTTTCTTATTTTCTATCTGTAAATCGACATTTCTTCTCTTTCTCTCTTTTGCTTGATTTATGGTTTTTTGTTTGTTTGGTTTTTTGTTTTGTTTTTCAAGGCAGGGTTTCTCTGTTGCTTTGGAACCTGTTCTTGGAACTAGCTCTTGTAGACCAGGCTGGCCTCGAACTCCCTGATATCCACCTGCCTCTGCCAGATATGGAGCTATTCCCCTTGAATGCTTTCATCTTGATCTTATGGACTCCATGCTCTCAGTACTGCATCAAAATCTTGAGTGTGCGAGCCCATTTTCAACCACTTCAAAGAGCTGTAGAATATGGCATTTAATTAACTTAGGGTTCTGTCAAAGTGAGACATGATTGCTCCCGGCAGCACCAATCTATTCCAGAGAGAATTTTGAGCACCAAAGACACTCCACTTGGAGCTTGTTTTCTTCTTGGCAAAATTGATCTTTGGGCAAGGAGCTGCCCATGTCTCTACCATTGACAATGTACATGGTATCCAGAAATAGATAAGCAGGACACAAGGAAAAAGACTCAAATCTTGCAAAGACAGGGTAAGACAGTTTTGAAAAATTGCCTGCCTCTGAAAATGGTCTATCAGTTATGCTAGACCTTAGCCAAAGACTGTTGCTTCAATAGTGCAAATGAGACTTTGGGTGATTGCCCAGGTAGCTGGTTGTCTCTGTTAGTTGCTGTACATTTTTGGAAGTTGCTTGATTGCACTTGCTGCCTATTCAAGTAATATTATTTCCCTTCTCGAATCTTCAATGAGGTTGAAGACTAGATAATTGTAGTTACTTTCCTCTCATGACCTGGCCAAGACTTAAACTCATTAGGATAGAATAATTATTGAAACATTTATCACAGGTTTCTTGCTTGATATATTTGTTCTTATTGTATATAATTTTGTATTATTAGAACTTAGAACTCTCTTATTTAAACAAAAGAGGGAAGTTCTGTAGGAATTCCTACAGCCCGTAGCTTTTAAGTTACCCGCCCACTTGGGTGTGGCCTCTTATACTATTTATGCCGACGTGAAGTGCACGTCCGGCCTCTTTTCCAGGTGCTGGATTTGGTTGCTGTTCTCCATTCCAACAGAGGATTGTGACTTCTGAGTCTATCCCTAAATAAATAACCATCTATTATTCTCTCTCTCTCTCTCTCTCTCTCTTGGTTTTTCAAGACAGGGTTTCTCTGTGGCTTTGAAGCCTGTGCTGGAACTAGCTCTTGTAGACCAGGCTGGCCTCAAACTCACAGAGATCCACCTGCCTCTGCCTCCCAAGTGCTGGGGTTAAAGGCATGCGCCACCACCACCCAGCCCGTCTATTATTTTCAATTCTGAGCTTGTGTGGGATTTCTTTTTTTTTAATATTTATTTATTTATTATGTATACAATATTCTGTCTGTGTGTATGCCTGCAGGCCAGAAGAGGGCACCAGACCCCATTACAGATGGTTGTGAGCCACCATGTGGTTGCTGGGAATTGAACTCAGGACCTTTGGAAGAGCAGGCAATGCTCTTAACCTCTGAGCCATCTCTCCAGCCCCTAGTGTGGGATTTCTTTTAAGCATCCTTCTTCAAAGAAGTTTGTCAGATTCCCTGGATCTGGAGTTGCAGGAACATATGAGCCATCCAACATGAGTATTAGGATCTGCACACAGGTCATCCCAAAGAAGAGGACGTGTTAAGCCACCCATCTAGCCCCAAAGTATATTTTAGGCAATAAACTAAGTTTTCACATATACAGAAAACAATAAAAAACTAAATAAATGGTTAGTCCCTTGATGATCCTGTTAACATGATGAGTTACTATTAAGAAGTTGGACATGTTCAGTTTGCAGCATAAATTCAACATACCAAAAGAAAACTTCTAAATATTTATAAAAGAAAAGCTGTTTCTAAAGTTATATGGAAAGCAGAAAAGATAAGAATGCTCATAGGCTTATGATTAGGGATCAACACGACACATTTAGCCTGTGAGATATTTGAATCTTGCAGAGAGTTTGCCTGTTGGTGAATGGGTTCACCTTCCCACTGGGCTGAGCTAACCTTGAGCAAAAAGAAACCACGTGGTTTGCTCTCATTTGACTGGTGACCTCATCACAAAGGCAGCAGCCATTTGAATTAGCTATCTTCTTTAGTAATGGTTTTGTTAAAAAGAATCAATGCCCAGTGACTTCTTGGTTACTGTGGCATAAAACAAAAAGGAAACATCCATAAACTTCCTGCTTCCACTGAGCCCTGAGTGGATTACCCTATTTATACTAAAGAAATGAAACCAGACTTCTCTGGTTTTTGTTAGTTTTGGTGTTTTGTTTTGTTTTTGAGACATTGCTTTTCCTGATATAATTAATGGCTTCATAAGGAAGTGAAGAATTTTCATGTGCCTCCAAAACTAGCAACACATCAAAGGAATCTGGCACTTTTAAAATCAGAGTTCCCTCTCTAATACCGGGAATATGCTTGGCAGAGCTGGCAACGATCTGGGGCCAGGGCCTTTGGGATGGGATTGCTTCAACTCCTGAGAATCCAACACTTTCCACACAAAGGTCTGTGGTTATAAGTTCCAAGGTCACTGTGGACTCTGTGTTCTTAAGTTACCTGTGTTCCCCCTTGTGCAACATTATCTGAGTGACTTCCTCCTGAATTTGCATACTTCCTTTTAAAACTGAGCCCACTGGTTCACATTAACAAGAGACTGGTTGTTGAATTTGGCACAAATTTCCATCCAATCTGGGGTAGGTCTGTCTTTAAGATTGAAGCCAAGGCTGAGAATCATTGGGTTGCGTTCCTATCACTCACTCATTACTAGCCAATCAGAGCCTCTAGAGGACCGGCCAGTCAGATTGGTGGGTTCCTCCGGGAGGCAGACTTCTGGTTCAGCATTTCTGAGGAAGTCGGAAGTTTCCCCTGCGCCGAACCTTGAGCTGCATTGTGAGGAGAGCACGGATTGTTCTGGCAGCCGCAGCATGGTGAGCGAGGGGTTGCGCTTCACAAACGGGGAGGAGCGGTGGACCACGGTGAGTAAGGATCGGTTGTCCTCATGTCGGGAGGAGTGGCTGGCCATGATGATTGATGGGCTGCTGACCCCATGCGGGGAGGCGCGGTGGGCCTTGGTGAGCTAGGGTGTGCTGTCCTCATGCCGGCAAGAGTGGCTGGCCATGGTGAATGAGGGGCTGCTGTACTCACGCGGGGAGAACCGGTGGGCCTTGGTGAGCCAGGGTCCGCTGTTCCCACGTGTGGAGTAGCTACCCTTGGTGAGGGAGAGGCCGCTGTCCTCAAACTAGGTTCAGCAGCCTGTGATGGGTCCTCCCCTGGCTTGGTGGGAGCCAGTGGGAAGACAGAGTTCGCTGTTTTCCTACCTGGTCCAGCGTGGTCCTATGTGGCCTTGCAACTCCCTGCCTGGGTCGGGCTGGCAGCCTCTGAATAACTTCAGTCGCCCGTCCGTGTCTCCCGGCAGAGCACTGGGAGCAGAATTGTGCTTAGTAAGATCCTTGTTGTTAACATCACTGTGAAAAGCTGGTGCCTGCAGTGTGGAGAGACATCACCAGATTTGCCAGAGTCGAAAAATACTGATCTCTCTAGTATCTTCCAGAAGTTCTTCACTTTCAATACTTTTTTGAAAAGCTATTTTGAGTCAGTTTGATTAAGGTGAACTTGAACCCCGTCTGTAGTCCCACAGGACCCTGCCATTGCTATCCTCCTGACTAAACCACCCTACGTTCCTGGATTGCAGGTCTATAGCAAATTACCAGTATGAGTCATATAGTGGACTATCCAAAGCAGTAACAAGAGAAGGATTTATGTAGATGTAGCATGGCTCATCTATTTGGAATAGAAGAGGAGAAACAGTGTACTGTGCACACTGCAGTGGCAAACAGACTAGACAATAGCTACATCACACTCTAAAGTTTAAAGGCAGTGAGCTGCAGGGGTCTCCATTACAAAGATAGACCTGATGGGTGAGTGACTATCTGTGCATTTCCTATCATGAATTAACCCCTACCATGTGAATGAAGACAGACAGAATTGGTGGGTGTACAGTTTAAGGAGGATAGCTTGAACTCCTAAGTATTCAGTTTCTAATCAGTGAACTCTCCCATGTAGATATGTGCAATCTGGATTGACACAGTTAAATCAGCTGAGAGGTTTGAGACATAGGCCACTGGAAAAGCAGGAAAGCCTTGACCCTCCTCCTTGCCCATCCTTTTCTGTGCTGTGACTACACATGCTTTACAGTTAGTCAGTGAACTCAATTCTTCCATGGGTCTCACTTCATTTGTAAATTCAAAATAAAATCTACAGGATCATTCACTGATCTATTTTTCCTTCCAGTCAAGGCCCAGCCTGGAAGGAGTTACAGGACTGTCTTTTCATCAATGGGCAGCAGAGGCAGGAGTAGGTGTTCAAAGCAATTTTCAGTTACTTAGTGTTAGCTTACAGCATTCAGTAGCTAGCATTTTACATGGGACAAAGTCATGCATTCTCTTATTAATGGCATTCTCCCTACCAGGGAAGTGCCCACTCTGTTTCAATGTCAGTATATCTGACTCTTCCAACTATTTTTATCATTTTAAAAGGTCAGTGTTTTGTATTTTTTTATTTCATTTTTTGATACATTACTGCTATAATCTCTTTGTTTCTATTTTCAATGTTTCCCAGCTTAAGAATATCATTCCATTGTTTTTTCTTAAGTGCTATTTATTCATATTAGTTTAGAGCAATGGTTCTCAATCTGGGGGGTCTGGCTCACTTTGAGGGATCAAATGACCCTATCACAGGACTGGCCTAAGACTATCAGAAAATACAGATATATAATAATTCGTAACAGCAAAAGTATAGCTGTAGTGAAAATAATTTTATAATTGGGAGTTACTACATCATGAGGAACTGTACATTAATGAGACAGCATTAGGAAGGCTGAGAACCACTGGTTTAGATCAATGTCTCCCATAGCTCCGATGCCTCACACTAAGTAACTGAAAATTGCTTTGAACACCTACTCCTGCCTCTGCTGCCCATTGATGAAAAGACAGTCCTGTAACTCCTTCCAGGCTGGGCCTTGACTGGAAGGAAAAGTAGATCAGTGAATGATCCTGTAGATTTTATTTTGAATTTACAAATGAAGTGAGACCCATGGAAGAATTGAGTTCATTGACTAACTGTAAAGCATGTGTAGTCACAGCACAGAAAAGGATGGGCAAGGAGGAGGGTCAAGGCTTTCCTGCTATGACAGTAGTTGACATTAGCAATGAGTAGTGAGGGAATCAATTTTAGATGGTCAAAAAAGGTTCTGTCTACCCATATCTTGGGTTCACAGAGCAGGCAATAAAGAATCTGGAAAAAGAACTGAACTAGAATCCAAATTATTGTAGTTATACGAGTTCAACCTAAATAGAAGAACTGGATAAAATGGTGTGTCCCTGCATTGCATGACTGTGTTTTCCAGGTTTCAGTTGTATACCCTGAGAGAAATGGCATGAGTGGTACCTGGTGTGCTCTACTAGAAATTCCTAGTCTCTGGAGCATATGGCCATAAAGCCTGTTTCAACTTTTTAACATAATATTTTACGATTATAATTACATTATTTCCCCTATCTCTGTTTTTGTCTCCAAGCCATCCCATAGACTTTTCATTGTGTTCTAATCCATGGCCTCTTTTTGTTTAACAACAGTTACTGTTTGGATGTGACCTGCCTTTAGCTGCAGGACCTCCCAGCTATGAAGCAAAGGATTGGCTGTACTGGCCACTGAGTGTGTGATGGACAGTGCACACATAGGATCTGGTGCCTTGGAAGAGGAGCAGGAAGTGTTCTGGGAGGTTGGGGGATTTTACTAAACTGCAGACTTCCCAGATTAGGGCCTTATCTGATCATATGTAGAAGGACAAGGTTGGGAAGGACTGTGTGATCTGAGTCATTTGATCTCTACTCACCCAGTGGCATTGCTGCTATTGTCCTGAAACTCACTGGGTGGTCTTAAGTAATGAGGAAATTTGGGAAGGCTTGGCCTTCAGGAGCACTAGTTGGAGGTAGTTTATAATTTCTTTTCATGATTCTCCTCTTGTTCTGCTGGGGGCGGGGGCTGAAGTCCACAAGCCAGTCCATGGTGAGTGTGGGGGCCACTGTCTCCAGACCAGGAAGAGTAGGTTGACTGAGCTATCAGAATCAGGACTGCTTGGACTCAGATAGCCCATAAGCCAGCCTGGGGTTCTGTTGATCCCTGTGGTGACATGAGCAGTGGATCTGGACCTCTGAGCTTCCTTGAGTGTGGATTCCTTGTGGAGGGGGAGGTTCTGCCATCCTGGCCTCGGAGACAATTATCTAGTAATATCACCATCCAGTGTCCACACAGAGGCATTGTTTTTGTTGTGCCGTGGGAAGACAGATTGGAAAACTGAAGATCTGGGTTGTAGAAGTTCTGAATGTTCCATTCCACTTTCAGGTCTGTTTAACACGTGTCAGATAGTTTAGAAACTGGCAGAAGGAGGTGATGGGCATCATCCTTCAGCAATACGTGATTAGAAAGTTTTCAACTTTCTGCTACTGCCAGCCACCATGGTGTGATTCAGTGAAGCTCAGTTCCAGGAGACAAAATGAGTTTCTGATCTGTAGAGGTATCTCAGGTTTGCATGGTGTTGGGCAGGTGAATAGCACAGATGCCACAGCTTGTGATATTACCAATCTGGCAGGAAGCAGGCATGAAATTATTCTTCAACATTGTTTTGTGATTGGACATCACTGGGGCTGGGTTTACCTGAAACCACAGGAGGCCCGAGGAGCTGCATAGCCATGTTAGGCTCTGGAGGAGATTGCCTCCATTTGCAGGGAGGGCTCCAGAGCATGGGGCCTCTCTGGAAGACATATCAGTAGCTGGAGGTTCAAAACATGAACAGTTTAAGTGTCACTTTGAGTTAATTTTGTTGAAGTTGTGAAATCTATCTTTATTAATTTCTGTACACACATAGAATTATAGGTAGCTGTATAGACAGAAGTTTCTGTGCCACCCAGTTCCACAGCCCTTCAGTCCCAAAGAAACAAAGTGAGGTTTATATTAATTATAAACTGTTTGGCCAGTACAAGCAGTAGAAATAAATCCTGGTCTCACTGTCAATGTCCCTGTAGTCTGCCCCAGTCATACAACTGTCACCCACACTGAGTGGGCCTATTTTGGTCCTATGCTGGACTGCAGTCCATGGGCTCCCATTAGCTCAGGTAAGCTGTGTCAGTGGGTCTCTCCATCATGGTCTTGACCTCTTTGCTCAGCAGCATTTATAATCAAATGTGTTTTAGCAGCTGTTGCTCCTTCCTCAGCAGTCAATTCAAAGACAACAATTCAAATACAACACAATAACATACAGGATCCAGATACTCTGTGTATTTTCCATGTTTATATAGTTTTCCCCCCCTTACTCTATTTCTTTTATTTTTATTTTTAAATGGTTGGTTTTTGAGACAGGATTTCTCTGTGTATCTTTGGCTCTGCTGGTTACACACTCTGTAACCAGGATGACCTTGAATTCAGAGATTTACCTGTCTCAGCCTTACAAGTTCTGGGATTAATGGCCTGTGTCACCACACCCAACTACTCTATTTCTGTTTAAGTACTTTCTCTATCTTTTTTTCCTCTCCCAAGCCAACATATATTTTTAAACACACTGTAAATCATTTAGAGGATTCTTTTTCCTCTGAATCTGTCTTTACTATATATTTTCATCTTTTTCTGAACACATGAGTCTTCATCTTCTAAGCGAAATGGCTAGAAGTAAAGCTGTGGCTTTGGCAACCGGCTCTTCTACATTTCTTAGCTTCCTAAGAGTCTAGCTTCATGGCACAAGTACAAGTGGGAACCACATTGAATGTCACAACTCTGTGGAGTTTTTAGGTTCAGCCACCACCAAGAAGCCTGATGCTAGCTGCTCATAAAGCCGTTTAAGTGTTTGGTGGCAGAGCCTCTTAAAAGAGCTGTGGAGGGAGGGGAGAAGGTGAAAATTTGTAATAATAATAAAAAAAGAACAAAA